AAAACCCAATGGCATCCCATCTGCAGACATTTCCTGGCTCAAAGACCACAATGAAAGAGGGCTGTTCACACCCGTTCAAATCTATAAGGACAAAAGTGGTCTGTTCAGGAGGCGACGGGTGATGAAATCGGACCGCATGTGGTTTTACCCAGAAGAACCTCCCGGCTACGTCAGGGGTGCCCCGCCAACTCCACAACAGTTTTTTCGGAGTCGTGTTTTTGTGTGGCGTCCTGTTGGAGTGTGGAGGTACTCCCTGAAGTGTCCTCGAGGGGATCAGTGTCTGGGTAGAGGACGGAACGTGCACCTCTACAAGTCTGGCTATCACCACCGGGTATAACTCACTTCACCTTTGTTAGAGTTTTTACATTAGTTTATTACTATGTATGTAAACATGCAAGACAAAAAAAGAGCACAGAAAGCCATATCCTGCTATTGGCCTTTTTTTTAATAAGATTTTCTCCCCATATGTACTTTAGGTACGTCACATCTGTGACGTGTCCACCTGGTACACCATGCTCACTGAGGTCCTGTGCTGTGGACCATGTACAAAAGCGGCCAGAAGCGGAGAAGGTGGCACAATGGGTCGGTGGCTTGCGTGGGATGCCGCTATTTTGTCCCAGCTTAGCGAGGCTCACCAAGCTATGTTCCCTGCCATCCTCACCAGCAAGTGAGTATACTGAACATAATGTGTGCGTTTGACAGACCTGGAAGTGTCACTCAAATCCACCTGAACATATTGATTGTGACTCTACTTATAGGCGTGGCGTGGATAGGACTGTTGTGCGCCTTCTGAGGGACCGGACGGAAGGGAACACCATGGTCAAGGTGTGGCGGCAGATACAGGAGAACCACGTTGAAGAGTACCTTCAGCGTAAGGACCTGTACACCACACTCCTCATGACTGTCGTGAAACCTGGAGGGATCGTTTCTGCACTAAGGCACACTTTCCAGGCTCCACCTCCTCCAAGAGAGCTCCCCTCCGCGCGGCTCCTGCGCCACGCCTTCCTGCTGGCGGAGGCCAACAACGTGCAGGATTACCGGAGCCAGATCCTCTCCACTTTTGGCACTGTGCTGAAAATGGATTCCACCAAGAAAGTATGTAAATCATGCAAAACATCTTGCAGTATTGTTTGGTTTTTTATTAAGTTTTAAATTGAACCCATTTTCACATTGTTGTAAAGTGATTAAGAAAAATCACATATCAATAAAATCTAACAGGTTATCTCATTATGCACACTTGACATGTTTTAGGTGGTGAAGAAGCTGTCTGGGGAGGGTGGAGGCTCAGCTGAGTGGTTCACCAGCATCGGAAACGAGCACTCCCAGATAGTTTCATTTGTGCTGACCTGTGAGGAGTCCACAGAGAAGCTGAAACCGATGTGCCTTGGGGTCATGGAGAGGTTCCGGCTGGCCAATCAACCAGTCCCAAAAATTATATACGTGGACCGTGGGTGTTGCCGTGCGCAGGGCCCAACAGCGCTGGGGATTTTGTTCCAGCCTTGGGTGGACAACGGGATGGTTGTGCGTCTGGACATCTTTCACTGGATCCACCGGTTTGATGCAGCCATACGCACAGAGTCCCACTCGAAGTATGCTGCATTCAAGTCTGCGCTAGCTGGGGGAGTGCTGGCCTATAACCGCTCAGACCTGGAGCTGCTCATCAAGGCCATGAGAGCCAAGGACCCCGGCAACGCTGATGACTGTGTCAGATGAGGATATTGTCCGCCTCTACATTACCAGGGAGCACCTCAAACACCACGTGCGAAGGGTCACACTGGGAGCTCAGGAAACATTCCGGCTCATCCATCTGGCCATTGAGGAGCTGAAAGGTCCCGCAGGGCTGGACGAGAGCGGAGTGAGCCTTTTCAAAACACCTGGTATAAAAGACCTCATTCAAAAAAGTTATTACAACATTGATACGGATAGAGTTGCATACAAAGTGAACATAACTCACTGTATGCATGCATGTATGTATGTATTTACAGAGGCCATTGATGAGATGTGGGCAGGCCAGCAGCGACACCTGGAGTGCATCCAGGATCCACCAGACATGAACATGTATAGGGTGGCGCGTACCACAACCATTAACAATGTGGACCTACCCTACTACAAATGTCTGCGTGGAAGCAACAGCCTGGAAGGATTCCACAAAGCTCTGCCGAACATGATTCCAGGTACACAGGTGTATTCTCTATACTTGTAACAAATTAAATATGTGACCCTGTCATTAAGCAATAATGACAGGAGAGGGGGTGCGATTGTACTGAATATATCACAGCTGTGATTTGGATATAGCTTTAATACAACCATTCTACAATTGCCATTTATTAGTTAACAGTAATAAGCCACAACAGATTATGATTTGTTTCTTTTTTTAATCATTTATTTTCCTCCGCCAACACAAAAAGATCTGCAACTGGACTTCGGACTTGACTTTTGCCAAGCAACACAAACAAAACATTTATTAGAACACCTGTAAAGCGGAGTGATACATGTAGTTAAAAGTCCCCGTGCAGTAACGCTCAATATAGGAACTCATGGAATGCCCATTGTCCAATCAAACTAATTAGTTGAAAAAGTGGAACTAACTGTTGTATAATACCTTCAATTTTGATTTTCAGGTCCCCACTGTGCAGCACGGCCCTATCAGGTTTACCTGATCAGTGGCATTGCACGGTGGAACTCTGACAGGAGCGGGGATGCCGTGTTTGGTGGCAAAGGACGGCACCACAGGACCTATTCGGCGCCGCTGATTGATCGCCTCAACGCTCGCTGTCAGCAGCTGTTCGGAGAGACTGTGGAGGAGAATTTCCGGGCCCCTGCTGATGTCTCTTCCAACGAGCTGCTCGGGTTGGAGTACCTGTTCAGCCAGAGCACGGGGGAATCTGGGCCCTTCTCTCTTCAGGACATTGTCAACGATGGACCTGGTCCAGAAGAGGAGGTGCTCCGACCTGGGCAGCCTGATCCAGATGACGCAGACGAGGCGTACCAGAGCGATGTGGAGGCACACGACCGTGCGCTGGATGCCGTCCTGCCCCACATCACACTCACCAGCGACGAAACCGCCACTGTTCACCCTCCGGCCTTTGTGAGTAGCCGTGTGTCTGCTAGAATGAAATACAATGCACCAGTTACTGAAAAAGACAACATATTTGAACTTACCACATTCATATGGCTTTTTCTTTTACAGGAGGATGCCTGCAGTCCAAACCCTCTTCCTGGCTTTCCTAAGTTGGAAATGTTCTGCTCTGTGCTGGTGGAGATTGGCCTGGCAGAAGAAAAGCTGTCACTCACCACCGAGCAGAGAAACCAGGTCCTTAAAGCCTGGAATGCCGTGGAGGAGCATGACAAGCAGCCACAAAAGTTCAACCAGTTGTACAGAACACACTGGGGCAACACCCTCTACTGCCGCACAAAAAGGGACGATCTTGTTGACGCTGCTCTGATACAGAGGGTAAAGATGGCCAAGCGCTACGCACCAGCGCAACAGGACATCAGTGCTCAGCACAACAGGCTGATGTACACGCTGGTGAAACTGTTGTGGTTGCGCTCACCTCAAGGCTCTCGCAACAGTCCTGAGAAGAGAACCCTCTTGAAGGCGTACGAGCGAGTCCAGCACCGGATTTTAGTGGAGGATCCAGTCCTGTGCAAAGCAGGCATTCCTCTACCCAAGATTAACAGCAAGACTGTGCAGGACTTTATCCGTCGCCAAGAGAGGCTCCTCAACTTGCACGCCACAAAACAGCCCTCCACCATCACTAAGACCACCTCCATCTCATCTGCAGACCTTCCACCAGCACCACATCAGCCTGCAGTCCTCCCTCCACCAGACTACCCCCTGATGGAATATGTGCCCACACCCAGCACAGCAGGGACCAAGGTGTTAAAGGGAAGGACAGATATGATGGCACCACTCTCCCGGCCTCAGCCACCGATGCCACATTTGCTACTGCCACCACCAGTGAGAAAACCCAACGCCCCCTCTACCATCACCAGACCTGTGCCCTCCCTCTCTGCATCTACAGCAACCCCAGGAATTGCTGGCCCCTCCACATGGCCCATAATGCCTGCTAGTGAGGCAAATCCAGGGATTGATGGTCCACCTAAATCAGTCCCTCCAACTCTGCCCAAAATGCCTACTACAATTGGCACAGCACACAGTAGTACTTCATTCTGGGCAAGAGCTACGCAATTCAAGCGGAAGCATAAGGAACACTCCTCAGAAGTAGGAGCCAAAGTGTCAAGGGTGCAAAATCTCCCTGTCTGTACACTCTGTGGCCAAACAACCCAGGGACATAAAAAATACAAAAAAAAGAGTTTCTGCCCTACAAATATGATGTCCCCATCAAAAGGTCTGGACAACAAAGTGTACAGCAGCTACGAACACTTCACCTCTGTTGTTGACAAGTTGTAGTAATATAAATATGTTGTAATAAATCTGTAAATATGGGACGGTTGCATTGTACATATGGTAAATAGGCTTTGATTTTATGACATTTTATATTGTCTAACTTATATTGTCTACACTGTAGTGCTGTGTTTTTTATAAGTGTTCCCCAATATACATGCATAATAATACACTGTCATCTGGGACAATGTGTCATTCCACCACTCTGCTTTGGTCCAGAACTGGTTTCAACACCATCCACAGTTGACAGTACTATACCTTCCACCATACTCTCCGTTTCTAAACCCTATCGAATAGTTTTTCTCTGCATGACGGTGGAAGGTTTACGATCTCCAGCCCCAGGCTCAGGTACCGCTCATTCAGGCCATGGAGGACGCCTGTGACCAAGTCGACGCCGCAGCTGTGCAAGGATGGATTCGACATTCAAGACGGTTCTTCCCGCGTTGTCTTGCTAATGAGGATATTGCT